GTTGCTCTCGGATCTAGGGAGGTTACATGTGTTCCAGAACGGTTCCATTCATGCTACAGAAGAGACTCATTTATAACGCGAGTGTCATCAAATGAAAAAAAATGTTAATGACCCAGAGACCGCTCGGCTGTGTCTGCCGAAGCCTCCTGCTCGTCTCTGTAGGCCCGAGCCTTCCAAGCTGCTCCGCTTGGCCCGGGAAGCAGAGGTCTGCAGTTTAAGAATCTGTTTTTGCAAATACACAGGGGACCAGAGGCAGAATCCCACACAGGAGAGGATGCAGCCAGGAGGAAGCGTGTTGGAGGAGGCTGGCTCATGGCAGCTGCGTCTTCCCGAAATGATGGTTGGCCTGGAATCCATTTCCAATTGGCTCGCAGCATTGTGCTGACTGGAACCCATGGGCTGGGAAGGGAAAGGGGTAAAAATGTAGCTGTGGGAGCGCAGACTGGAGAGGAAGGAAGTGGGTGACTAGAGTATTCTAAGTTTGGGAGGGAAATTGCTCTACCATTTTTTCAACCTGAGTTGGAGTAACCCAGGTGCAAATGGAGTCCGCCTACAACACGATGGCCTTGACCCGACTCCAAGGACATCGCTTTGCTCGGAGAAGCGGACACAGCGCAGGCAGGCGAGAGCAGGGCCCTGGACCGAGTGCAGGCTGCCTGGCTCAGCCCCAGTGCCCTGCGTCTCTGCCGAGCGGACCATTAGGAAAGAGAAAAACACTTCACCTCAGGATGGGCCGCCTCCACACAAATCAAGGAAGTCCCATTTGAGGGAAGTGCTCCCAAACTCCCCGTCCTCACATCAGGTCTAAACAAAGCCTTTTCCCATCACAAGTCAATAAGCGTCTAAGTTAAAGAGATCAAGGCGTGGAGCGAAGGCTCCAGGCACAACCGCGATCCTTCCCCAGGCCAGCCCCTGAGCCCGGAGCGGTGTGGGCTCAGGGATCCTGGTGCTACTCTCTTCCTTCGCAGTCCCTAGGCCGCAAGGCGGGGAAGAGCGAGCATCGCATGGAAGCTCCTCCCAAGAGTGCGCATTTGCATTAGTCCAATGCTGTCCCCAAAGCGCCCAGAACCGAGTCATTAGTCCAGCATTTGAAGAATGCCAAACAATGAGCCATTTCTTCTTCAGGCCCAATCGGCCCATTTCCGTTTCCCTCTTAGCACTTGTACAGAATCACCCAATGTGTCACTTCCTAGAACACGCGATTGTTTACACAAGTAAGCGAGGCTTCTCCGGCAGGATTTATGTCTCTCCTTTCGGACGCGATGATTGCCATTTCAGACGCCATGGTTGCCTCCGCGGCGCCCCCTCTGCTAGGAGCCGCTCAAGCCCCGTGTGCGCGCAGCTTCGTACCTTCCTCTTGGAAACAAAGGCTCCCCTTTGGGGAGAGGGGCGGGGAGCGAAGGCCGAATCTAATTGAGAGTAAAATTCTTCAGACTCTGCGCTCGCCGGTCTGGCATGCGAGGAGTGTGTTGGATTTGCTCCTTAACAAGCATCTTAAAGAAACTGTTCTGCGAGGGGATTTCCCAGAGGGTCCGCGCGGAGGACAAGTATTTGCGTCTCGATTACCGAGGGCCCAAGTGGGTTTTTCCTGCGCCGTTTTTTCCATCAGAAATCTGGGTGGGAGGAGAGGTCGCTGCAATGTTTGTGCTTTTGTTGTTGGCGAGGCTGAGGTTTTAACACGGGGGCCATGAAGAATGCATACTTGCGCGCTCGGCTAAGACCGAAGATTCCTTCCCCACAGTGCTTTGTGCGCGCATGTGCTTTCTGTCCAACAGGGAAAGCCCCGCTTGCCTGGAAGAAAGACGGGCCTTCTTCTCCCTAACAATGAACACGCGCGCACGCGGCTCCCTAACTTGCCGCAGAGCTGGGCAGCCGAGTCCCTTCACCCCCAACCAACTTCTCTTCCACCCCACCCCCTGCACAGGTCTTTAGGGGCAATCAGCAGCTGCCTGCACAAACACTCCAAGTCAAAAGGACGCATGGTGCAATAGACAGGCCTCGGTCCCCCCCAGTTCTGGCCTCTTCCCAGTCGGCTCGCTTCAGGAAGATGAATGCAACGGGCCTCCTTCGCTTTATCTGAGCCCCAGCGGTCCAGGGCTGTGGAGAAAGCTGCTTCCGTGAGGGTCTCCGCTCTCTCCTCTCAGGCAGGCGTGCCACTCCGCTGGGTTCGCTATTCGGGTGCAAATGCCGCTAGAGATACAGTAGATGTTGTTATGATGATCAAACCATTCATATTTGCTAAGTGCCTGGGAGGGAGCCAGTGCGCGCAGCCCGCTCTCTTAGGTCAGGCCTCCTCGAAGCTGTGCCTGCCGCAGGGTTCTCTCTCATGCGAGGGAGGGAATGGGGTGCCGGCTGATGGAGGCCTGGGAGGCAGGCTGGGGCAGGGAGGAGCTAGCAAAGCCAGGGTGGCCAGGGCAGCTCTGGAGAGTGAGGTGCACTGGCGGGTGTCTCACCGAGGCAAGGGGGCTGGGCTGTCAAAGTGCAGAAGGGTCCCTGGGGGGTGGGCGGTCGCCTGAGACATCTGTCAGCCAAGGCTAATCCTCTGAAAGGCTGCAGCCCCAGCCTTGCAAGGAGAGCTGGGTGGGGCGCCGCATCTGTTATGCAAATCAACGAGTGTTTGATGACAGCAGCTCCACGTGCCAGGAATAAGGGCTCAGAACTGGGAAATCCGGAGACCTGAGCCTCAGTTTCCTCATCCAAGAAGGCTTCCTTTCGGTCTCACGAGGCCCCCAAAGCCCCCAATTTGAGCTTGGGACCCTGGCTGCGTCTGTAGACAGGTCACAGTCCTAAGTGCCTATTTCTTTGTCTCCTCGCAGACTCAGGCGGTGGGGTGGGCACCGACTGTCCTGTTCTCTACAGCACCCCAACACCAGCACGATGCCGGCACTTAGTAGGTCTGCGGTGCATCCTCGCTGCCAGGCTGAACGACTACCTCACACGTGTCCCCCTCCGGGAAAGGCCTCAGCTCCTAATGGATGGACCTTCCCCCAGCCCTTCCTCTTGACTGCTACTTTTCCTCTTGCCCTTCCTCCCATCCTGAGCGGGTGTTCTTTCTCTCCACCTCCCCCCGCAGAGGCTGGCTGTCCTCCCACACGCTCCGGCCCCATTCAGGGCCATTTCCAGCGGGAGCGCCCAGATTTGTGACATTGTGAGATGATATGATGCCTGGGAGGGCCAGGAGGCCGCTGCAGCCAGGCGGTGTAGGGTGGTGAGGTGTGTGTGGTGGGGGGCGGGGCAGGGAGCGAGGGGAAAAGAAGGCAGTGGCAGTCCTTTGGGCCATAAATCATGCCAGTCGGCAAGGAAGGTGTCAGAGCTGGGGGTACTCTGCACTGGGCATTCCCTGCAACTGAAAATCACCAAGTATTTGCTTTTTTGATACTCGCCCCACTCTCCCATGGCCAGTTCATAACCGCGCAGGTTGCACTAAAAGGACTCCGGTCATGGCATTTCCGGCGTAAAACATGCGGGCGGGGGCAGGTACGTGCGTGGTGGGAGGAGGGGAGGAGAGGCCTTCCTTGGATGCGTCCCCCTGAGCAGTTTCCATGCCTTCGAATTCTTCTTTTTAAAAACAATGTTCCCCTTCTAAGAGTGATATGATCATTTGACATACAATTTGGAAGGTAAATGATTTTTAAAAAATTCCTCCCCCTAAAGGAATGCAAATGACTGCGAGCGTTTTGGACCGGTTCCCTCTAGTCTCTTCTGTGTATCTCCATTTGGATACCTGTTAGGGTTTTTAAAAAATATATGTCTTTATTGATTTCAGAGAGGAAGGGAGAGGGAGATAGAAACATCAATGATGAGATTCGTGGATCGGCTGCCTCTTGCACGTGCCCTACTGGGGTCGAGCCCACAACCCAGGCATGTGCTCTAACCGGGAATCGAACCGTGACCTCCTGGTTCCTGGGTGGACACTCAGCCCCTCAGCCACACTGGGCCCTGTTAAGTTTTTACTAGATCGTTTTGCATCACTGTTAATAGTGTTTTATAACCTCGCTGATATTGTCCTGACATTAAGTCTTGCGGCCAGGGATCTGCAGTACTAAGTGGCTGGGGGGCTTTGGAGCCAGAGAGAACCCCAACTTCGGACTTCAGTTTCCCCCGCTATGAGCTGTGAGTGGAACATGAATTATCATTGAGGTTTCGTGTTTTCGGAGTGGAACTGGCTTGCTCCCCAGCCGACTTGGGTCTGCGCTCAGACTATGGGCTCGCCAGTCGGAAAGGCAGAAACACTCAGGGCAGTGCAAGGGGCCCGGCCCAGAGCGGGGACTCCGGACAAGCGCTCCGAGGCTCTCCGAGGACACCAAGTGGCCACCTGCCCAGCTCCCCGCCCCACCCAGGAGGACCGGGCCTCGGGCTCCTCCTCCCCTACTCGCCCCCTCGGGCTCCCCTCGGGGCTTTACCCGCATTGGCGAGACCAGCTTGCTATTAGGGAGACCCAGGGCACGGCTCCCCCGCACCCCAAGAAGGCAGAGGCGAGGACCCAGGCCCCGGGGACTGGGTGAAGTGAGGTGACCGCCCTGTCCCCCCGGGAATTGTTTGGGCCCCAAGGAGTCAGCCTAGACAGGCCGCGCCTGCAGCCCGGGTGGGGCACCGTCCTCGCGGCCCCCCCTCCCCTCCGCGGTGGCCCGGGGGCGGACGGACGCGGTGGCGCCCATCCTGGCCCCCGTGCGGTTTCCCGGGGAGGCTGGACGAGGTGGTGCAGCGGGAGGGGAACGGGAGGGGAGAGGGAGGAGCGCGGGGCATGGGGGGAGGAGTGTGAGGGATGGGGGGAAAAAGAGCCGCCGGCCGGGTCGGAGGAGGAGAAGCTGCGCACCGGGTGGGGGCTGAGGGTAGAGGAGCGGAGCGGATCGCAGAGCGGCCCCGAGGGAGACCGGAGGCGGAGCGGCCGGCGGAGATGGAAGGCGCTGCAGCGGGCCTGGGAACGGAGCAGGAGGGGGCGGGGCCGAGGGCGGGGAGGGGGCGTGGCCGGCCGGTGCCCCGCCCCTCCCGGCCGGGCCGCGCCGAGGAACGAAGATGGCCGGGCGCGCCGCGGGAACCGAGGAGTCACCCGCAGCCGCGGTGGCCGCCGCTCCGGGACTGTGACTCTCCGCGCGACAGCGACTCGCACGACCCGGACCGAGCGGGCCGGCTGCGCGCACGGCCACGCGCCGGACCCGCGGGCGGCGGGCGGGCGCCGGGGCACGGGCGCCCGGCGGAGGATGCACCGGGCGCGGCGGGCGGCTCCCCGCGGCCGCCCCCGCTCCTCGGGCCCCGGGCCTTAGTGCTGGCGGAGGAGGCGTCGCGCGCGGGGCGGCCGGGCGGCGGCGGGGCCCGCGCCGTCATGCCGTGGCTGAGCGGCGGCCGCCGGCGGCGGCGGGGCCAGGCGCGCGAGGCCCCGCGGGAGCCGCCGTCCGTGCCGACCCCGCGCGAGCCGCCGCCGCCCGCGCCGCCCGCGCCCGCGCCCCCCGCGCCCTCCGCGCCGCTGCGGGCCCGCGAGAGCGCCGAGCTGCCGCTGCCCGCCGGCTGGGAGGAGGCGCGCGACTACGACGGCCGCGTCTTCTACATCGACCACAACACGCGCCAGACGTCGTGGATCGACCCCCGAGACCGGTAAGGGCGCCGGCGCGGGGCCCGGGCCGGCCCCCGGACGCCCCATCCCGGAGGCTCGGGGACGGGCTCGGGGACCCCGGGAGGTCCCCGGATCGGGGCGACGAGCAGGGCGCCCCCACGTCCCCATCCCCGGGGCCCCGGCTGAGGATCGAGGCACCACCTCTCCCGGCTTCGACCCCGGAGCGCGGAACCCCGGCCTCCTCCCGGCCCCCGCCGCGGCGGACACACGGACTGGGTTCCCTCACGTCACCCGGTGACCGGCGCCTGGGAGCTGGGCGCCTGGAATTTCCTCTCCCGGGGCTGACGGATGGCCCTCTTTTCCTTTTTCCGCCGCGGCCTCGCCCATCCCCGCCGGGCCGCTGCGGCCCACCGCCCCCGGCGTCGCCCCGCCAGCACCCCGGCCCCGCGGTGGCCGGAGGAGCTGTCACCTTGGAGCACAGACTCGCGCCCAGCTGGCCGGTGCGGGCTCCCTGTCGGGCGGGCTCAGCCTGGTTTCCATCCAGGGACCGCTGCCAGGCGGGACACCTCCGGGGTTCCCAGGTCTTGGGGTTCGGGAGAGCCTCTTCCCAGCTGTGATGGGGAGTTACTCTCTAGCGCCTGAAACATTGAGTTAAAATCCTGATTGAAACAGCCTTGTGTACTGCGGCCAGAAGGGAGTATGATTAGACCCAGATGCTTGTGGAAGAACCGAAAAACAAGAGTTGAATTTTAGCTTTCCCCTTTGTGCAAGCGATGAATAGGGCACTAGGTTGTCTTATTATTCATGCAAATAAGCCGTATGGAGTCAAACACGAATTCTTGCATGTCATTAAGTCCCCGGAATGGTGCTTTTCTTGAACCTTTTCAATGGTTCAGCTGCTTTTGCTGAGATGCATTTTTCATGGGCTTGGGAATTCTGGTGAAACCGAGTGTTTCCCGCGGTTATCTGATATCTTGTCCTGTCTGGAGCAAATTTTGTCCACGGCCCGAGTGCCAGAGAGGAAACACTCTGGGCTTCCCAGTGATTTTAAGACTTGAAAAGGCCAAGTGTGGTGACATCGCGCCTGCTTCCGCCTACCTGCCCAGGAAAGGCAGCGCTGCATGGCACTGGCGCTGGAAAATAAACTTGCAGGAGGGAAGCCGCTTGAATTATTGTTTGAAGAGTTTTTCTGGGTTCGGATAGGGAAAAGCAAAACAAAGCCCAACAAAGCAAAAGCGTTGTGGCGCCCTAACATTGCAAACCCTGGACTCAGAAACGTAGGTAGTCCTGGCACAGTTTTATGGGTTAAAAGGATGCTTAGTTATTTTGAAAATCAGGTGAGATCATATTATAATTTTAACCAGAGGCCAGAGCCACAGCTGTTTGATCAAGCCTTGGATGGTTCTGGAATTGCTAGAACTGCTTGGAATGTGGTGCCCTTTTATGCTGTGTGTGTGTGTGTGTGTGTGTGTGTGTGTGTGTTAAAAACCCAAACAACTGGAAAATGAACCAATTAAGAATCCCGTTTTGCTTAGAAAAGGCTAAGGCTCATTTTATGAGGGTAATATAAAACAGTTGTGGTTCCATTGGCGTGGGGATTCGGGATGAGAAGTATGAATGCAAGAATTTCCTTGTTTGTGGAGTGACCCAGGACATAGGTGCGCCGACCCTCCAGAAGTCAGCTTTCCGTGCATTTCATGCACGGTGCCTCCTCTCTCCTCCAGAAGTCTGTGTTACTCAATGACCTGCTCCCCCTTTGCAGACTTTTAAAAAAAGTCTTGTTTCGAATGCTGCGTCGCCCGAGTGAACAAAAGTGGATATTTTACATTTTTTTGTAAAGTAAAAACATGTGTATACTTTTATGAGACATTGTTTTTATAGTGAGTGAGAATTCAGCAGGGGACAGCTTGCACTGCAGCTCCCATAATACCTTGCCCGAAATATGTATGGAATGCTCAGCAAGCCACAAACATTTAAGGGGAGTCTCTGAAGGGTGTAAATGGTGTAATAGTCATTCTTCTTCTGCTTTCAAAACAGAACCCTGCCGATTTTTATAGGTGACCGGTTGTCCTTTAAAGTTGGACTTGCTTTACTGTACGGAAAAAACTGTTGAAGCACATTTTCCCCATCTGCGCCTGACAGTTAAAACCCCTTTTGAGTGGCCTTTGATTCATGTGATCAGAAAACGGTGTTCAAGAAATGAGAACTCCCCCCAAATAGCTTCCAAAGACACAACTGGCAGGAGAGAGGCAACTCGATAGGTTTTTAGGGAAAATGAAAAATGAAATGGAAATTATGGAGGAATTTCGACATAGTAGGTGAGGTGCGCATTGTTGCTGACTTAAAACATTTCATATGTAATTTAGCACAAGCCGTAATAGTATGAAATACACTGTTGTAAGTGAAGTAACCCCCGAGGGCCAAGGGTGGTAAACAATCCCTTCTAGAGTTTTCTGTTCATTGCATTTATTGTTGTGTTTAACAGCATTTGATATTGCTGGCTCAGGGCATGTTGGTGAATTACTGTGGCTGTACTTTCTTTTTCAAGTCACAACAAAGAGGTTGCAGCCTAAGGGAACAACTTTACAGATGTGGCTGGAAACATCTCCGTATTTTCAAAACAGAATTCTTTAGTTTGGGAACCTACCTTAGGTTTAAATGCACTATCTCTGCAGGTCGTTACCGTGAGTATAATTTTCAGAGTTTTTGGAATCGTACCCAAAAACTTTCTTTAAAAATATAGAGTTCATTCGCCATTTCTGTGGCTGGTAGTTTCTATGGGCGAGTCTTTTGTGGTATTCTACCTATCTGAGCTCAGAGTTCAGGCACCACTGTATAAAAAGGCATTTCCCACTTAGGTGGAAAATATGGGAAGAACATTTTTGCTTCCTTTGGAAAAATCCAGTGCCTTCGACGGTTGTACATCCATACGTGTGCTTCCTGAGGGGTTGTGTTGATACTGTCCTTTAGATGGGCTGGGTGGGTGCGGCTTTAGGGTCCCTGTGCCCTCGCGCGGTTTCATTGTACTAGTCCACTCCTGGAAACGCCAGCCTCGAGCAGCTGAAGAATGGTGAGCCGAAGCACATTGGAGATCAAAACAGAGTGTAAATGGTCACAATGATGGTGGAAGGCCCAGATGATAGCACAACAAACGCTTGTAGGGACCCTTTGTTCACGAGATGGATGTGGCCTGCGCCACATGGAAGAATTCTGTGGGAATAGTAAAAGTCCTTTGGGCCGGCTATCGCTTTAAGGAGAAAACAATCCACGGTTGGGGAACTTGCCAGGTGGGAGCCCACAGAACAGAGCCAGATGACATCACTGATTGCTACCTTCTTGGAACACTTTGGTATTAATTAATAGGACGCTTACTATATTTATCCCACAGAGTCTATTTAGGTATTATATAAACTTGCTGATAAACAAGTAGTGATTCCTCCTTTTTTCATTTATAGGTAGTGTTTGTATGGGTGTGTGGGCGTGACTTGATTTTAAGGACATAAGGGGTGGACTCCCGCAAGAATGTTCTTCCATGATGTTCTTAGATGATCAACAACTACTTCTTGGTCTATTCTTGGTCTAATATCTTTCTTTTTCTTTCCTTCCTTTTTTTTTTTTTTTTAAGTGAATGGAAAAGTCATTCATTTTCAAAAATAGCTCCCGGATGTTTGGAAATCTCTTAAGTTTCCTTTTCTTCCCTTTCACTCTGATTTTGGAAGTGGAAGCAATGTGCTTCACCGTCTCTGTAACTTCTACTTCAGGAGCCCTTGGGGCAAGTGACGAGTTAAAGGTCACGTGGTGAGCCTGGGGAGCTGCTTCCAGCCCAGGTCCTTTTGCTCATGTTGGCTGCCTTTCCAAGAAATGAAATAATTCATCCGATGGAATAAAAGCAGCGTTAAATTCTACTGAGTTCAGTTATTCCCCTTTAAGTCCAGTAAAATGAAGAACTACGGAGGTTCTTTGCCTCCTGTGTGCTAGGTCAGTAGATGGGGACGCTTGTCTGGGAGAGAGAGACAATGGTGGTTACCAGGTACTATTAGCAGCTGGTGATGGCTTCCAGGAAAAGGAGGGAGGACTCACTTGAGCCTGGGGTGATCTTTATTCTCATCCATCTAGCTTCTGGATTGAGGGTTTGGGGGCTTTCTCAGCGCCGGGGAAGAAAAGTGCTGGAGATGGGGAAGTGCTGGACGTGTTCAGAGTAAATGAGGGAATCGGAAGTTTGACCCAGAGTCTTTGTAGGGGAGACCACACATAGCTTAGAATCCCACAGCGTCGGGGTTGGAAGAGCTAGGACTGTCCTGTTCAAACTTCTCATTTCGCACTTGAGGGCCACAGTCAAGGTGTGCGTCCTTCTGGGAGTTGGAGGGACAGGGACTTGAACTTCTGCCCGGGAGCCAGTGCTCTTTCCACTGTGCCACCCAACTGCCCAACCCCTACTCCATCCATCCATCCATCCATCCATCCATCCATCCATGTACCCATCTGCCCACTATTGCACAGCCTCTTAGTCTTGGGCACTCTTCCAGCATCCGGGACCGCAGTGCCGAGCACCAGCAGCCTGGTCCCTGCCTCTGTGGGGCTTACAGGGCGCTGGTGTCCTTTCCTTCCCCCTAAGGCCGCACCACGCTGTTGCTGCCTCCTGGTTCCCCCCGCTGAAATCCCTTGGCTCTGTGGTTATGGCAGACATATGTGGAGCGCTTACCATGAGCCAAGTGCTCTAGGCATTTGCGTGATGCTTTTACTGAAAGCCCACGAAGGCTGCACAGGTGTAGGTGGGCCGGTGAGGAAACTAGGCCAAGGGTGGGTGACTGAGCAACCTTGATTCCCAGAACCAGTGAGGGGCAGCGTGGGAGTTCAGCCCTCCCGTGGCCAGATCTGTGCCCCTTGCACTGTGTTGTACCCACTGGTTATTTCTGTCTGGCATCCATTGCTGTCTGACATTTAACCCCTCCCTGTGGTAGGCAGAATAATGACCCTGCAAAGATGTCCGTGTCCTCGGCTCTGAAACCTGTTAGTAAGTTGCCTTCTATGGCAAATAACG